TTTTTTTGTTGAAATTTTTGTAGTCAAACCGTGCACACTGAGAGATGTCCACAACATTCTCCAGGCATTGAAACGGGAAAGAAAGAATGATCTACCGGATGTCAAGAGGGTTGAAGCTGTTCTTAACGAGTTTTGCGGTGACGACGAGGGCAACAATGCTGAGATTTACGTGGATTCCTCGACAAATGTGGTCCAAGCAGTCGTGTTCCAATCGGCGAAGATGAAACGCTTGTTTCGGGCTTTTCCAGAGGTCGTGCTCGTGGACACTACACACGGTACGAACCAGAACAGATACAAGCTGTTCAGCTTTGTCGTCCACGACGTTTTTGGCAAGGTGCGAGGCAGCTACTGAGATTTTATCTGTACTAGTACCGAAGGTTACACACTTACGCAATGTACATTACTATTGAATGTTTTCAGGGGCAGTATGTTCAACACGCTTTGATTCTCAATGAGACCAAACCGCTTTTGCGTTGCGCTGTTGATTCGTTCAAGCGAAGTTCTCCAGAGTGGCAGAACGTTAAAGTGGTGATTTCTGACAAAGCTTTTCATGAGAAGGACGTCATGCTCGAAGCATTTACGGGGGCACGTCAGCTCTTGTGCCTATTTCACGTTCAGAAATGGCTTCACGAGCAAGTGGGAACTCGTGTGGTTGCTTCGATTGCGGTGAAAAATGAGGTTAAAAGTTCTCTCAGCGCGTTGATTTACTCTAAGAGCGAAGAAGACTACCTGACACAGCGCTCAGCGTTGCTTCACCATCTCGGTGGCAGCTCTAAGAACGGGTTTTACCAGTTTTTCCTACGTAATTGGGACGCTTGCAAAGAGCAGTGAACTATGTATATTCGGGGTGACGTTCCACACTTATTCAACCACACCAACAACCGGATCGAGGCAAAGTGGGGTTCAATGAAGAAGGTTATCAAGAAGTCGTTTGCGATAGACGACGCCATCTCAATGTTGCTTTCACTGCAAGAGTGGGCCGAAGAAGAGTACATCGGGGAGATCAACCGAGTGGGGTCAAGGCCTCAAATTGAAGGCGAAGACCATGAGTTGGCGGATCTAGCGCTGCACGTTAGCAATCACGCCTTCGACTACGTTAAGGCGGAATATTCGTACGCCGCCGTTGG